TATATATATATATATATATATATATATATATAGTGATGTCCTTGGATTTGTGCAATGGGAATCGGATCGTAATGAGATCACGATAATGAGATCGATTCACCTTTAAACACATATCCTAAATAATCCCGGTCATAGGTTACTCGAGAGGGACATCGTGATAACCGGACAGACTGGTGTGCTGTATACCCGTCCATATGATGGATGCAGTTGGTCTCATAGCCGCTCATGTAGGGACACTAGGGATATAGTACAGGTGCTCATTGAAGAATGAGTTCACTGATTGATCCTTTTACGGAATGCTGGATGGTTGATGATGCCTTATTATCAGACAACGATTCCATAGTCCTAGTGGTGTATCTGGTCCTTAGACTTGAGACACCAAGGATGTCCTGTATGAGTGCTCCACTCTTTGATACCAGACTTATAGGTTTGGCTGTCCCAGATCTAGTACAGCTGGTCATTGGGAGTGGTAGTCGACCTTACGAGGGCTATTGAGTGTCGATAGAGGATCATCCACTCTCGGCGTCATGAGAGGAATATCCCATGTGTTCTTACTCAGACAAATCCCTGGCCAGGGTTATTCGGGTTGAGAGAGAAAGAGTTCTCCGGGAGAATCCGATTAGAGCGAGACTTGAGTAGAAACCGTATGGGTCTGACAACACCATGCTCGATATATGGTCTCTGGGATATTAGATGGATGAGGGATTATAGGTGCACGGTAACTAAAGACAGACAGGTCAAATGGATTGGATTCCCCTGTATCGTCTGGGGACTACGGCGTAGTGGCCTAGTACGTCCGTAGTCGATGAGTCAAGTGAATTATTACAGAGATAATAATTCACTGAGTTAGAAGGAGTTCTGACGGGTATGACTCACGGCCAGCTCGATATTGGGCCTAGAGGGTGACACACATATGGTAGGCATTGCGATGAGTAGAGGTTCGGATATGAGATATCCGACGGAGCCCTTGTCTTATTGGATGCAGATCTAATACCCACTAGGGGAGGACCCATTAGGGTTTGATAGGGGACCTCTATAAATAGGATAGATTCATAGCCTCATAGGCTAGAGCCTTTGCTTGTCTTTCCTATTCTCCTCTCCCTCTCCACCTCAAAGCAGGCCTGGAGTTTTGAGGAGCGTCGTCGCAACCCTGCTGTGTGGATCACCGCTAGAGAGGAGGACGCTTGACCTCCTTCACCCTCTCCTAAGGATCTGCAAGGAAACAGGGATATACAATCTCTCTAGGTAACACAATCTACTCTATACGCAGTTTTAAGTTTCGCGGATTTTGCGCACCAATCTTCGCACGACGACGAACATCTCTTTGGGAATCGGGGATTTTGTTTTCTTGTTCTTCCGCTAAGCATATGATGTCGCCCCCATGATTTCCCAACACTGTTTAGTCGAGATGCACCACTCGGACACTATTTGGCTGAGGTGCACCACTCGAGGACTATATGGCTAAGGTGTACCACTCGAGCACTACTTGGCTGAGGTGCACCACTCGGGCACTGTTTGGTTGAGGTGCACGACTTGGGTACTGTTTTGCCGAGGTGTACCACTCGACCACTAGTTGGTCGAGGTGCACAACTCAAACACTTTTTGGCCGAAGTGCATGACTCGGACACTGTTTTGCCGAGGTGCACTACTCAACCACTATTTGGTCGAGGTGCACAACTCGAACAATTTTTGGCCGAAGTGCACGACTCGGACACTGTTTGGTCAAGATTTACCATTCGAGCATTGTTTGGTCGAGGTGCACCACTTGGGCACTATTTGGCTGAGGTGCACCACTCGGGCACTATTTGGCCAAGGTGCATGACTCGGACACTGTTTGACCAAGATGCATGACTCGGACACTATTTGGCTGAGATACACAACTCAGACACTATTTGGGCGAGGTGCACCACTTAGACATTGTTTGGTCGAGGTGCACAACTCAGACACTATTTGGTCGAGGTGCATGACTTGGGCACTGTTTGGCCGAGGTGCATGACTAAAACACTATTTGGGTGAGGTGCACAACTCAGACATTGTTTGACCGAGGTGCATGACTCAGGCATTGTTTTGCCGAGGTGCACGACTCAGACACTCTTTAGCTAAGGTGCATGACTCTGGTACTATTTGGCCGAGATGCACAACTTGGATATTGTTTGGCCGATGTGCACAACTCAGACACTCTTTGGCCGAGGTGCATGACTCGGGCACTGTAGGCACTCTTTGGCTGAGGTGCACTATTTGGCCGAGGTGCATGACTTAGACGTTGGTTGGCCAAGGTGCATGACTTGGACACTGTTTGGCCGAGGTGCACCATTTAGGCATTGTTTGATCGAGGTGCACGACTCAGACATTGTTTGATTGAGGTGCACCACTCAGACACTATTTAGTCAAGTGCACGACTTAGACACTATTTGGCCAAGGTGCACCACTCGGTCACTGTTTGGCTGAGGTGCACCGTTCGAGCACTATTTGGCTGAGGTGTATGACTCAGACACTGTTTGGCCAAGGCACTGTTTGGTCAATGTGCACGACTCGGATACTATTTGGCTGAGGTGCATGACTCGAGCACTGTTTGACCAAGGTGCACCACTCGGCACTATTTGACCAAGGTATACGTCTCGGGCATTATTTAGCCGAGATCACCACTTGGGCACTATTTGGCCAATGTGCATGACTTTGACATTGTTTGGCCGAGGTGCACCACTCAGACACTGTATGGCCGAGATGAACTACTCGAACATTATTTGGCCGAGGTGCACTACTCATATATTGTTTGGCTGAGGTGCATGGCTCGGGCACTATTTGGCTAAGATGCACAACTTATACATTATTTGGCCGAGGTGCACCACCGGGGTACTGTTTGGTCGAGGTGCATCACTCGGGCACTGTTTGACCCAGGTGCATCACTCGGGCACTATTTGGCCGAGGTGCACAACTTGAGCACTGTTTGACTGAGGTGCACAACTCGAGCATTGTTTGATCGAGACACACAACTTGGACACTCTTTGGCTGAGATTTATAACTCAAGCACATGACTGGTCAAAATTTATAACTCGGGCACATGCTTTGCTATAGCAGACCCCCTTTTTTTTTTCTTTTTTGATTTACACACCTTCGGCTCATCTACTTTCGACCTCGCAGTGGCAAGCCTT